AGAGAGAGAGAGAGAGAGACAGCGCGAGCACAAGCAGGGGGAGCAGCAGGCAGAGGGAGAAGCAGACTCCCCACTGAGCAAGGAGCCCGATGCGGGGCTCGATCCCAGGACCCTGGGATCGTGACCTGAGCCGGAGGCAGACGCTTAACGACTGAGCCACCCAGGCGCCCCCGGGAACTGATTCTTTCAAAGTTTTGGCCTCCTTGCATAAACTCCAGGCTCCCTGAAGTCAAAAGATGTAAAGGTTGGAACTTGCTCTGTATTCCAGATCACTCCTTCCCCCACACTCCAAATTTGACAGAAACTAAATATTTTCACTTGACAAAATCAGTTAAGGTGAAAACTTGACACGATGAATTAAACATTGAGTTTTATTTTAAGACGATGCTCCCGAAAGGAATAAAATAATCTGATGACATATCTTTTGATTATCCCCCAAGGTCTCCCAACTGATCAATCATGATAGATAAGTCAACCTCAAAGCCCAAAGCAGTCAATCAAAACCAACAGCCACAGTAATATCGTCTTTTCCCTTAATTTAGGAGCATTTCTATGTGGAGAAGGGGAGCAGGGCCAGCAAATGCTAGCAAACTCCCTCCTCCGGTGTCATTATTGTGTACACGCTTGTGCATACACACTCACTCCAGGTTTATGAAACAGTTCTCTTTCAGTTAGCTTTCTGGATCAAAGAGATTTAAGAAAAGGACATTGTCTGCTCAAAAGAGCCAAAGGTCTGTAAAGCATAGTCATTAAACTCATACTACAGAAACATCTAACACATTTCTAGTTATCTGCAGTCGGTGCCCCCAATCTCACTAAGTCCTATTCATCCTTCAAAACCCAACTCAAAAGTTGCCTCCTCAGGACAGCCTTCTTTGCCTCTCCCAGTGTGAGTTAAGGGCTCCTCCTCTTTACTGCCTTTATGGCAGCAAATCACACCATACTAGTCCCATCTCTTTCACTTAGACTTGTGAGCTCCTCAAGGGAAGGGACTGTGTCTCCTTTTCCTATATGTCCAGCTCCTAGTAAAGTGCTTGGTTCATAAAGGCACTTAACTGATGCTTTTTGAGTGAATGAATGAAAAAAAAATGTACCTTGACTGAGTCCCTACTTGTCTGTTCTATGTAAGAATCTTTGGAGGAAACCATAGAAAAAACAATTTCCTGCCATCAGGGACATTTTACAATTTTATTTGGATGATAAGATTCAGTAACGTGATACAATTAGAGACTAGGAAGCCGTCTGGTTTCATGCAAATTTCCATCTCGAAGACCTCAGGAAAAGAAGAGAGCAGTTCCAGCTAGAGGCCACAGGGAGACTGCATAGATGGTTGTGGGGCCATCTTCCCCTCCAGGAAATACTTGGCAATGTCTGGAGACATGTTTATAGTCACAGCACAGGGAGCGCTACTGGCCTCTAGTGGCCAGTGGTTAGGGATGTTTCTAGAATCTCTACAATGCTAAGGTCAACCGCACCCCCCCAGCTTCCCTTCTGTGACAAAGAATTATTCAGCCCCGAATGTCGGCAGTGTTGAGGTTGAGACATCGTGAGCTAAGGTACTTGGAAATGCAAAGGTTGGCAGTGAGCGTTTGGAACTGATACCACTAGGACTTCAGCCAACTGACTTTACGTGATTAAATATGCCTCTGGTGCTAATACCTACTATTTGCTATAATAACAGTAGTAATAATTCGCATCTATTGAGCACTCTCTGGGCTGGCCACTTTACATACGTCATAAGGTTTAATTTTCATTATAATACCTTGGGGTGGATTTCAATATCCTCATTTACAGATGGCTGAAAGTAAGCCTCAAAAAGCTAAAGCGACCAGGTCGCCAAACTAGTGAGTGGCCGAGCCCGAGTTTGAACTCTACTCTGTTTGCCTTCAAAGGTGACACTAGTTCGGGGGGCCTGGGTGGCTCAGTTGGTTAAGTGACTGCCTTTGGTTCAGGTCATGATCCCAGCGTCCTGGGATCAAGTCCCACATCAGGCTCCCTGCTCAGCGGGGAGTCTGCTTCTCCCTCTGACCCTACCCCCTCTTGTACTCTCTCTCTCTCTGTCAAATAAATAAATAAAATCTTAAAAAAAAAAAAAAAGGTGACACTAGTTCTATTAACCCACTTTGCTGCATATCCCAACAGTCTATATATGGAAAAGGGTAGGAAAAAGAAAGAATTGCCTGGATAATTCCAGTTCAGTTATTCAGACAGTTACTTCAATTTTTTCTTTATTTTATACATGTAGACACGACCTATGAGATTTTATTAGATTTTTAAAATCTGACAGCTTTCATAAAAAAATAACTGTGATGGGTCTTTGTTTCAAATCTCAATCGATTTATTAGAGTGCAGATGCATTTTTGGTTTTCTTATACTGACCGACAGAGAGACAAGCATTCTTCTCTTGGGCCCAAATCTGGCTTTGCTTGCGGACTGCAATGGTGCCGGAGCTGTGGTCACTCTCGTTGCCTCTGTATTCTGCCCTGCCCTGAGCAACATGATGAAGAGGAGAAAACTGCCTTTGATTACATTTTTTAATGAAGAATTGGGTGTTTTCATCTCTATTGGAGACTGCTCGGGCCTCGGGAGGCTCATTTTCTCTTTGGCCAGTGGGCCACCTGTAACGGCCAGCCCGACCTCGCACTTCCAGATCTTGGCAGGGAGAACCTATAGAAAAATGGGGGAATGCTTTTCATGAAGCGGGTCCAGGCTGAGCTATACTGCAAAGGCTGCAAAGTGGGTCTTTCCTGCTTCTGCTGCACCTCTGGGCATGCACTCCCTGTGTGCCCTCTCTCTTTGCCACGGCCTTGCTGTATAACTTCAGATGATTTATTTCAGCCCTCTGAGCATCAGGGAGGAGAATCATAACTGCATTTCAGGACTCTGTCTATAGGATGGATTTTATGTAACTCAGCCTATGACTTAGAGGACATGTACTGGAGTCAGAAAGGCCTACATTCAAATGACAAGCCCTTGCTTGTGTTACTTTGGGCAAGTTATTTAACTTTCCTTGACCTCTTTTTCCTCATCTAAAAAGAAAAATACGGAGATATTAATAGTACCAACCTCATGTCTTAATAATAATTAAATGAGAATAGGGCACATAAAAACCTCAGCCACAGTCCCTGGTACACAGTAGGTGCTCAATAAATGGTAATTACCATTTTATCACATGAGTATAAAGCCTTAGTAAGATCATACACTAGGCCAGGCTTTGGAATGAATCATAAAGGAGTCTGAGTCATAGGCCCAGACTAGCTGTGTGTCCTTAGGCCAGTCACTCAACTCCTCTGAATTTCAGTTTCTTCATTTGAAAAATGGAGGTAATAATAGTACCAATGTGATAGGGATTTGGCGAGGACTAAACAAGGTGAAGTATGGAAGACACCTAGCACAATAAATAGTAGTATAAATTCATCGTGTTATTTTTGCCAAATGAGAGCCACCGTATTTTGCAACATAAAAAAGTGGGGGTCTTCCAGTGGGACAGAATGTTTGAAACCAGAAATGAGCCAAGATGTATGGTCCTTATACAGAAGTCATTGAGAGAATCAAGGCCCCCATTGGAGCTTAGGGAAGGAGTAAAGGAGCCTGTGCTGAGAGGCAAAGGAGAGGAGGCTGGGAGCCAGAGAGGTTGAGGAAGAGCCTACAGCCCATACCAGAGTGGATCCCACCATAAGCATGGGGAAGGCGGGGAGGGCAGCCCTCTTTGGGCTCAGGGATCCAGTTACTGTGAGGTGGGCAGCCCAGCCCACAGAGCTGCCAGGCTATCCCTCTTCCACGCAGATGCTGATTGTGGGGGCCAGACCATGGGATCATTAATAGCTGAAATAAACAGATCATCTTTCAGTTTTACACAGACAGATAGCCTGGGTCTGGCTTGTTCATTGTGGTCTGTTTGAATCTGTTGGAAAATAAAGAAACCCCTACATTTCAGAGAAAATTTCCAAAAGGCACTGTCAGCAAAATGGTACAAGGCAGGAAATTTGTCTTGGGCCCCACCATCACCTCCTCTCCTTGTCTCTCCCCTTCTCCAGCATTCCTCACTCAAAACTCTTCTAATTTTCCCCTCAGATAGGACTAATATTAATTTAGAGAATTAGTGTTGCTTTTTTTTCCTCAGGAATCAAAACTCCTCAGTATGCTAAAGGAATAATCTTTTTAATGGTTGGAGTTCAACTTAGCTTAATATGCAGGAAAATACCCTGATAGGCTTTTGTGAAACCACATCATGAACCCTATTTTCAAATACTACTATTTAGTCATTTCTTAAATCCTTATACCTTCAAATGAATAGTTGGCTTCTTATTTAAGAAATTGCCCTGGTAGGAAAATTGTTTTGGTGTTGCTATTTTTTTTTGTCCTTTTTGATTTTGAGTTGCTGATCTTTGTCACTGTTTTTCCCCTATTGTGTCACAGTGGGGTTTTTTTTCCCCTTTCCTTAGTGTAATTTATAAAAGCAGATTACAATGGCTCTGATGAAAGAGGTCACTTGAAGAGCTTGTTTTGTGATTGGGAATCGTAAACAAGACCTCCTGTGCACTTGCCTCACATCAGTAGATGGCAGCACACACTCTCCTGTGAAGGGTAGTGGGTGTGGAGACGCCATTTTATTTGAACCGCAGTTCAATCCAGAGGCAGGAGCTCCTCAAAATGGCTGTCTTTTGGTAATCCTCATGAAAGGATTTATTTCCAGGTTTTTTTTTTTTTTTTTAACTCTGCATTCCAAGGAAATAAAGGTTGAGTAATTTACTACCATAAAACCTCATTAACTGAGCCCTGCCAATTGAAATTGATCATAATTCAGAAAGTGGCTTGGGCCGAAGTTTATTTGCTTTTGTTCAGTCTATGGAAAAGAGTTTGCTCAGCAACTTAATAGTATAACTTTCTTAGAAGACTATAAACTCCTTAATAAATGATGGTTTTAAGTAACTTTAAAATTGTCATTTTGTTACCAAAAAAAAAAGAAAGAAAGAAAGAAAAAGGTCCAGGCCCTTATCCATTAATAGCTGACTTGAATAAGGATAGTTCTCAGTGATGTAGAAATCCATAATACAATTTGAAAGGTGAAGTGGCAATTCAGAAATTGTTAAATTGGTGGCATTCTATAGATGTAACTCAAGTAAAATACATTCTCCAGCCCCTGTCTTAAAATATGGGGCATTTACAAAAGGAAATGCCTAATTTTATTTGAGTTCAGTTCAACAGTTACTGAGTAACTAATGTATTTCTCACACAACATTGTTTGAGGAGGTGCTGAGGATACAGAAATGAATGAGACCTGACTCTTGTCTTTAAGACATAGTCTATAAGGGGATGTCAAATATACAGAGATGGATACATGGTGTATTAAGTATAGAGAAGCAGAGTAAGTGCAAAGGGAAGAGAGACACAGAGAGAGAAGGTACAGTAGAATAGAGAAGGGGAATTATTAACTTTATTCAAAAAAATCAGGGAAGGCTTTCTAGGAGAGGCACCATCGAAGCTGAATTGAAGCATGAATAGGAACTTGAAAATTTAAGAAGGACGTTCCAGGCAGGAGAATAGCAAGTATAGAACGTGTGCACCCGGGAATGCTAGCTTATTCAGTATCACTTGAATATAACATTGGTGGTAGGTGGAGGGATCAGAGTCTTAAGAGAGGAAGCTCAGCAGTCGAGCAAGAGCTGATCATGAGCTGCAATTTGTTATGGTCAATGCAGTGAGGGTCGAGTGGGGAAGTGGTGGAGAGGAGATGGAGAATGAAGCAAGAGTCAGAGATGAATAGCCTTGCACTCCATGCCAAGGAGTTTGAGCTTTACCCTTGTAGGCGTTGCGGGGAGGGAGGGCAGCTTGGAGGACTCCTGAACCAGGGAATCACTTGATCGGGTTTGCACTTAGAGCATCCTGCCAGAGACAGGTGTAGATCGTGGACTGGAGTATGAAGAGGCTGGACGTTGGGAGTACAGTGAGGAGGCTGTTGGAACAGCCCAGACAAAAAACAATGAGTGCCCAACTAGAATAGTAGGAATGAGGGGAAGGGACAGATTGACAAGGTCTCTGGGAGGTAAGCAGATACAGGCTCAGGACTTGGTGGACAGCTGCATGGGGGTAGTGAAGGTGAGGGATGAGTCAGAGCTAACTCCCAGGTTTCTGACTTGGGCTAAAGAGTAGACAGATGGTAGTTCCATGGACTAAGATTGGAAATGGAAAAGAAAAAGAATTTTAACAACTCACGTATTGTATACGTCTTATTTAATTTCACTGAAACATGGACTTCAGTTGTAAAAAACAAACCACCACCCCCACCAACAACAATAAATCTAACAACTTGATGAACAGTCCAGGACTGAAACATTTTTTTTTTCAAGGTATACCATCTACTGGTAGGTCTGAATTAACACCAGGTATTGTTTGTAGCACACAGTTTAGCACTTGAATACATACTAAATGTATGTATTCATTTGGTCAACAAATATCCGTTCAGTGATGGCCATTGTTCTAGGCACTGAAGTTACAGGGATGAAAAGACAAGGTTCCTGCCCTCAAGAAGAAACATGAGAATCTCATTAGAGGAATCAGAGAAGAATTCACAAAGTAGGATGACTTGAGATAATGTTTAAGTAATAAATAGGAATTCATGGGTTAGATAAGAAAGGGAAAGGGAGAGCATCTGCAAAGACATAAGCCTTGGATAATGATAGCATTACTAGGATTTAAAGTAGGAGGGATGGAGAGTAGAGGAATTATATGAGATTAGTCTGGTTAGGTAGGAGTTGGTTGGTGCTAGATGGTAAACAGCCCTCTATGCCAGACTAAGAAATTTTAACTTGAATATGTACCCAGGACGGTCTTGGTTTGTGAATTACATGGTTACCCTATTCCAAAAGCATTGCAGAAGATAGAGAAGACAGAGTGTTGAGGTAGGTAATGACGAGTGCAGTTGTTTGGACGAGAGATGTTAAGGGCCTGAACAATGGCACTGACCATGGGCATGAAAAGGAGGGAATGAATAAGAGTGACCATTAGGAGGTAGAATCTACAGACCTTCTCTTGATTAGTTCATGCTGTAAATCTTATCCTACGGACGCTACACTTCTTTGGAACAGGGGCCATGATAGTAAAATATGACTCAAAGGTAATGATACTGATATGTTTGCTTAAAAACAAAAAAGGAGAGCCAGAGACATCCAAATAAATGATTCCCTTTGAGGTAGTCCACTTGAGAATCTAAACCTGTATTCCCATGATGCTGCTATGCCCCGGAAGTTTTCTGCACCTATTTGAGCACTGCCATTGAAGAGTCGATGGCACTTCTTTTAGGTTTGTTCTGAGTGGTGTATTCATCCTCTGAGTACTGGAGTAGCTCTTTTGAAATAACAAAACCAGTATTTGTTTCCCAGAGCCAAATATGATAAATTAATGTTTTTCTTGCGTGGTTTATAACCTTACTCTACAATGTTTGGAACAGTCTGTAGAAACACAAAGTAGATTGGCGGTTGCCTGGGGGTGGGTAGGGAAGCCAGGGGGAGGGGTGGATGAAGAGTGACTGCAGACAGGTACAGGGTTTCTTTCTGGGGTGACCAAAACACCCTAAAATGAGATCATGGTGAAATTTAATAAATTTGCACAACTCAAAAAATTTACGAAAAGCCATTGAATTGTACACTAATTTTTTTTTCTTTTTTTAAAAAATACTTGGCACTGCTTTTGCTGCATCCCACGTAATTTGATAGGTTGTATTTAATTTTCATTTAGTTCAAACTGTTTTTACATCTCTCTTGAGGTATCTTCTTTCACACGTCTTATTTAAATATCTTGGGATTTTTCCAGTCATCTTTCTGTTACTGATTTTTAGTTTGTATCCATTATGATTAGAAAAGGCAGTTTGTATGATTTCAGTCTTGTAGAATTTGCAAATGCCTGTCTTGCTGTCTAACATGTGGTCTATCCTGGAGAACGTTCCCTGTGCACTTGAGAAAAATGTGTATTCTTCAGTTGTTGGGTGACGCGTTCCATAAATGTGTTAGCTCCAGTGGATCCATAGTGTTGTTCACATTCTCCATTTCCTTGTTATCTTCTCTCTGGTTGTTCAGTCTGTTAATTAAAGTCTCCGACCATTTGTGCTGCTGTTAATAGCTCTCTTCAGTCTTGTCAGTGTTTGCTTCATATATTTGGGAGCACTGATAAATTGTACCCTCTAAATGAGTGAACTTTATGGTATGGAAATCATATTACAATGAAGTTACAAAATGTGTGGAGTGCAGGTGCGGTCCTGGGTTTGGGGATGTAGTTTTCAGAAAGCATGAGTCTCATTGCTTTATGAGTCAACTTTGTTCTTTATTAGACCCCATCACCCTTAGCACAGTACTGGGTACATAGTAATGGCTCAAGAGATATTTGTCCAGCAGAACTGAATGTAGTGTAGGGCTCAACTTCACTCCAATTCAGAGAAGATAGTGATTTTATTAAATAGTTCATACAAGTTCTTAGATGTTTTTATCTCCTGATCTAGTGTCCTTTTATGGGAACTTTTTATAAATGTTGAGTTGTGTCCAATCCTTTTTGTTTCCTAAACATCATCAATCTTGAATATAAAAGCACGGGTTATTACTACTATTTTAATTAATATATTACTGTTTGTTACTTTAATAAAATATATTTTAGCCATATAAATTATAGAAATTCCATGGGAATATTGCTCTAATGTTTTATTTGTCATTGACTCTGGCATTGTAATTTTTAGTATTAAATAAAGGGAAATCAACCAATCAATTTAAATCTCTCTCTCTCTCTCTCTCTCTCTTCCTCTCCCCCCGCCCCCAAACTCAGGAAGTATTGTGAGTGTCGGTGACCCAAAGAAAAAATACACAAGATTTGAAAAAATAGGCCAAGGGTAAGTGATTGTTATTTAAAATATCAGAAGATAAGCACCAGAGATATACATTCAGATTCAGTAACAGCCTGGGTTATATTCACGTTTTGCATTCTCAATATTGGGCTTTCTAGCTGACAGACTGACTGTTAATTAATCTAGCAACACATCCTGCTGGAATCTGCACTACTGTCTGGCCAAGGGCGAATTGTTTAAGGATATTTGAATCCCATATAGTTAGAAGATTCAAACTGATTTCTCCGGAAAAGCCGTAGGGTTATAGAAACCTTTAACTTGTATGAAAACCCCCTTTATCCCTGTCCCCACTACATCCGTACGGATGTTAGCCTTCAGATTCTGTTTCATTGTCAAACTATACAGTGACAGAGCGGGGGCAGGGGAAGTCCTTACCTAATAGTCCAGAGGGGGGCAGAGTTGACTCTTCGAGTAAGGAGGAAACAGATCAATAATCCCTAAATGAGAAGGAGTACATCATTTTCACTTAGCGTGCTTGCTAAGAATAAAGATCCCCAGGCCCGGCTGCCAGAGATCTGATTCAGAAGTCTGGAGTGGGGCCCAGGAATCTGAACTTTGGGAAAATCCCTCCGAAAATCCTGATCCTCAGCAAGACAAGGGAACCACAGGGCCGGATCATTCACTAGAGCTAAAGGTGGAAGTCATCCGTTCTCTAAGTCAACTGTAATTAGGCATGTTTCTCAGATCTCAGTGTGAAACTGAGAGTGGGCTACCATGTTTGAAACAGGGAAACATTTTGTTTAAAGTCAAACGAAGTGTTCTTAAGAGGCGTCCTTAAATGGGGAAGGAGACAAATATTTAGATGCATCAACTACTGGACGCCAGGAACCAAGATGGTAGCCCAGAGGTCTCCTGGCTGAGAAGGAAGGGATACAGCTAATGTCCCTACGGAATTATGCTAGCCCTTCAGCCAATGGAGTCTGTTTTCAGATAAGGGAATGGACGATTTCGTCTTCGGTTACTTCACTGCTTTTCCTTGGATTCTTAGGTTCAGAAAATCGTGTATTGTACATAAGCTTGACAATTTTTCTATATTTTATTTATTTTTTCCCTCTAGCTTTGGCACTAAAGTTTCTTTTGAAATTGCCGACTTATCTCACAAAATAAGGGAAAGCATTCATCATTAGATATTTTGGCCAGGGGGTAAGAGTCTTGGGGCACTTGTGGGGAATGTGCCTGGTTTCTTTCTTATGGTAAGAAAACCAGAACAGGGAGGGAGAAACTCAGGGAGAAACAGATCACCAAGTTTCTTCTTCCAGTGGAAACCATAATGCTGTTGCATTTGAACTTTCTAGGGGTTAAAATATTTGTGCTTTTGCCTCTTTCTTTGACATTTGGTATCACTGGTATTCTTACTTGCTCATGGGGGGGGGAAAAAGAGTTTTTAGTCCCTAGGGACCCCCTGTCACCTAACCAGTCAAATAGTATTTCTGCCGATTGCTCTAGACTGGTGCTATCTAAACAGAACTTTCTGTGATGATGGAGATGTTGTCTGTTTGTGTTGTCCTATACAATAGCCAGTGGCACGTGTGGTTATGGATCACTTGAAATGTGTCTGATGCAAGTGAGAAACTGTATGTATTTAAATTAATTTATTTGTTTATCACACATTTATTGACTGCCAACTGTGTGCCAGATACTTTTCTAAAGGCTGGAGAGACAGAGATAGGTACTGATGTGGGCCCTCAAAGAACTTAGAGTCTATAGTGGTAAACACTTGACAGAGGGATACATTAGGGTACAAGGAACACATTGAGACAAGTCTCCCTCACCTGAGTGCAGGGCAGGGCTGGCTTCTGTAGCCATTATTTCCCACCTGGAATTTTCCTTCTTAACTTCTGGTGGACTGGTTGTTTTACTTAAGTAAGGAAGCCATACCGCCTCCAGTCTGTATACACATACATACACCTCAACTCGCTTTCTTAATGCCCAAAAGGTGAACACCCCAAGGCCAGTTAAAACAACACAGTATTCAGGGAGCTGGGAAAGCAAAAGTTGCCTTTTATATTTTATTGTAATCTGGTTGGGTTTTTGGTGGAGCTAATAATAGGAAGGGATACACAATCCACAGAGAAGCAGCATCTCAGATCATAGCTGTCCAATGCGGTAACCGTGTGACCACTGAGCGCTTGCGGTGGGGCTAGTCCAAATTGAGATATGCTACAAGTCTAAAATATGCATGATTTCAAAAACTTAGGAGGAAAAAATGATGCAAAGTATCTCATTAATAAATTATATATTGGTTACATGTTGAAGTGGTATTTTACATGCATTGTGTTAAATACAGTGTATTATTAAAATTAATTTTATCTTTTAAACTTTTTAGAATATAGCTCCCCCCAAATTTAAAATACAGTTCACCTTATATTTCTAAAGGGCAGCACCACTCTAGTTGTAGGTCTAAATGGGAGCTATTTGTTTATTTTTTCAAAAAAGTAGGTTTGTTTCAAGAGTTGTTTTTTGGGGAGTGGGAAGTAGGAGATGTTATAATTTTGTTTTGATTGTTCTTTCCCACTAAGACCCAACTGAGCCAAAAATAGCATTGAATTTAAAAAAGAAAAAAGTGGGCGCCTGGGTGGCTCAGTTGGTTAAGCGACTGCTTTCGGCTCAGGTCATGATCCTGGAGTCTCAGGATCGAGTCCCGCATCAGGCTCCCTGCTCAGCAGGGAGTCTGCTTCTCCCTCTGACCCTTCCCCCTCTCATGTGCTCTCTCTCTCTCTCTCTCTCTCATTCTCTCTCTCAAGTAAATAAATAAATAAAATCTTTAAAAAAAAAAAAAAAAGAAAAGAAAAAAGCAAAAGATGGTTTCAAATATCTCCCAGATACCCAGGTAATGAAGCAAGACTGATTTCTCCAAGAACAAAGATTAGGCCGCCAAGCAACTTGGCATACCAAAGAGATTTCCCCTCCTAGTTATTTATGCCTCTGACCTCTGAAGGTGCAAAAGGAAAGTTCTGTGTTTCTCCATAACTCTGTAAAACCTTTGTAATCTAAATTGAAAAGTCAAAGCAGAAATCCTGCCTGCCACTGTGGAAAGGTCTGTTTTAAATTCCCAGCTAGTTCATCATTTTAAAGAATGTTGAAACCAGTAGATACTTCACTCATATGCCCAATTCAACTTCTAAATAAGTCCTTAGAGGGTAGGGAGTCTATTTTATTCCTCCCTTTGTCTCCTTTGGTGTCTAGCACAGGGCTTTTTTACTTAGTAGCCCCCTCCCTCCAAAAAACAAAGGAAACAATTTTGTACAATTTCAGTCAACAGCAGGAGTTTACTTGGCCAAGGTCAAAGATCTACAGAGCTTCTCCTGTCTGCCTCTCCCATCTCTCTGGATCTGTTTTTGCCTCAGTAAATATTGTATTGTATTGTATTGCTCTTTCTGTCCTATCTCCCTATCTCCCTATCTCTTTCTCTGTCTCGGTGTGTCTTCATCTCTTCCCATAATAACTTGATCTGATTCCTTATCTTTTGGGTACTTTGTGTGTGCTGCAAGGCTGTCTTTTTCATTCGTGTTGGCTTCACCTTGCACTGCCCATTTTCACACACACACTCAACCCAAATGGTCGCGATATAAAATCAAGATGCACATCTAAAAGAGCTTTTAAGATATAATATAGTAACTGAAATCTACTTATTTACTGTGATTTTAGCTTGTATTTAATTTACTAATTTTGGTTTTGTGTTTCTGGTAGATTTTTGCTCTCTGTTCTTAATTTCTAAAAGTGAGTGAGCAAAATATTGATTTATTTCTCTCTAGACCAAAAAACGAAAACCACTGAAATTAGTTTTCCTTTTACTTAAATTGCTCTCAATGGATTTTTCCATGAATTACTGGCCTAAATTAGACAAACTCGCCTCTGCTTTCAGTGTATAGAGTTTGTATTTTCTTTTCATTAAGTCCGGGTGTTTTTTATTGTTTTGCTTTACCTATTATGATGGTGAAAATCAAACCTGAGTCCGTAATCATTTGGTGCTAGGAATAATCAGCCCCCGTATTCCATTTTCAGCTTCAGGGAGCACAGCAGCTTACTCTTGGTAGCCGGATTTGAGAAGAACCTCTCCATTAATCACCCTCATCTACTTGGAAAACTAAAATTTTCCAGTATGGGTTTCTGCCATCCCAGCGTTCAGGCCCGGGGCCAGAGAATTTGCCTCCATCTTCCATAAATCAAGTTCAGAATTGCATGTCTAATCATTCAAGGCCATAGCTGAGAGTCGAAGGCTAAAAATGACATTATTTCACCAGATTTCTGTGAAAAGACTTCTATAATTGGCCACCAAATCTGGATATTTTGAGCAGATGTATGTAAAGTTTAAAAAAAAGGAAAGGAAGAAAGTAAAAAGGCCTGGCATCCTCCAAATTATCATTAACAACATGAGTTTGTCAGAAATCAACCTGGCAAAGCCTGTCTAATTCTCGCAGAAGCGGTATAGCTGTGTGATTGCAGACGGCTGAGTTTACTAACGTCTGCAGCGGGCCTCACAGATTTCTCATTAATATATGTGAATTCGTTTTTAAGACCTTTTCTTACAAGAGAATGCACTGAAAAGCAGACCCCTTTTCTCTTTCGCTTTCATGTTTGCTCTCTCTTCAACATTGTAACAGACAAATGTTTTTGAGGATGCAACCCGGAGACGGTTTGGATCCAGTTTAAGGAGTGACTTGTTTCATTTGGTGCAGTTTGACTGAATGCCTGCTACCTGTAATGCACAAAACATAAAATCGTAGTTAAGAACCAGGTTCTGACTTTCGGAACATCCAACGGGGAGAGAAGGAAAGTTGTATCGAGAAATAAGCGGGGGACCCCCCCCTTAAATGCATGTACTTTAATTAATTTCTTAGAGCGTCTGTTTTCTCATCCTTAGTAAGCAGAAGATACATACCTCATCCGGTTGAGGGAAGTGAAGGAGGGGAGGCATTTCGGGTGCTCAGCACAACATGGCACATACAGCGAAGGGCTCAGTAAATGCTAGGTATCATTAGAGG